AATCTTTGTGTTTAGATAGGAGCTGCCTCGTATGGGCCAATAAGCCTTCTGCAGCCTCTATGTTTCACCTCACATTTATCCCTTATGTATCCCCCCATGTTTTCACCTTTATTGTATTATCACCTGACCCAGTGCGGGTATAAAATCAACTAGTATTGTAAGATCTGTTCACTTGAGAATGAACCATGGAGGTTCGAAACGTTGTGCAAATTATATAAATAAGTGTAATACACTCTATAGTAAATCACTTCTTTTCTTCACCTCAAAAGTATGAAAATGAGTTTTGGAGAACTCCTATTTCAATTAACCCTTAAACTGCGCAACGCGCCTGCAGGCTCACGTCTGGTTTGCGCAACGCGCCTCCGGGTATTTGTATTTTTCACGTTCCATTCAAAACTCCCGCGGCTACATGGGGTTCACATCAGCTTCCTCAGGGCTCTTGTAAACAGACGCCATCTTTAAAAAAAATCGTGGTCCACATTCCCGGGTGTAGGAGCCTCAGTAGTGTGTGAGCAACCAAGGCTGGCGCTCGCAGCATGAGCGCACAGCACTGCTGTTCAGCATGTGACCACAGCATCGCCAAATAATGTCAAAATATATATATAACTTGTATTATTTAGCTATGGTAGTGTTATATTAGAGCCCGAGTGTGATAATGACTGGGTACAATGTTCAAATATCAGTGATTCAATGCTGTTCACGATGTTCACAGCTCTAGCCACAGCACCACAGCATTATTTCGTTCATCTAGGAATCTTCAAATGATTTCTTAGGTTCCTTTTCAAAATAAACGTGTGGTCAATTATTCATTTACAGGAATTAGAGACCAGGATTGTGATAATAGCAGGATTGTGGCTATAATTAGCGTTGTGCGTAGTATTGTGGAAGGAGGAATTTTGATGAGGGAGGGAGGGCGAGAATTGAGGTAGCCTCATCGTGTGTGTGGCTGCCACTCTTGTTTTGCTCACCATACTAGCTTAGTGGTTCGCTATGGGCAACACATATGTACATGGGTATATATAGTGTGTGTATATAGAGTAAGAACAGCAACCGGAGAATGTTGAGAGGAGCTATTTTGGTGAGGGAGGTGACGTAATCGTAGCGTCGTCTGCTGTGTGATTTTTCATGCAGTGTATGGTGGCCACTGTACTGTTTGGACACAATACCGGCTTACTTGCATAGTTCTGGTAAATAAAACATGTAGATAGGTATATAGAACATGTGTAATAAGAGCTATAACAATATGGTGGGAGGAGCAATGTTGGCGAGTAAGATGTTGGAGTGAGGGAGACTGGCTGGGTATGGCTGCTCTCACTCGAGGTGTTCTGAATGTGTTCATGGCCAAATGCTGCTATTGGCCCATATGAGGCAGCTGCTATTGGCCCATACGGGGCAGCTGCTATTGGCCTATATGGGACAGCTGCTATTGGCCCATACGAGGCAGCTGATATTGGCCCATACGAGGCAGATGATATTGGCCCATACGAGGTAGCTGCTATTGGCCCATACGAGGCAGCTGATATTGGCCCATACGAGGCAACTGATATTGGCCCATACGAGGCAACTGATATTGGCCCATACGAGGCAGCTGATATTGGCCCATACGAGGCAGCTGATATTGGCCCATACGAGGCAGCTGATATTGGCCCATACGAGGCAACTGCTATTGGCCCATACGAGGCAGCTGCTCTTGGCCCATACGGGGAAGCTGCTATTGGCCCATACGAGGCAGCTGATATTGGCCCATACGAGGCAGCTGCTATTGGCTCATACGAAGCAGCTGCTACGCGGTGTTCTGAATGTGTTGATGGTGAATGTATATAGTGTGTGACAGTGTATAGTGTGTAAATAGATTGTATATATACACAAATTAGCATGGTACATAGTAAATATGTGCTGCATATGTGTACACAAGTTTCATGCACGTAACACAGTGTCTACGGACAGTACGGATGTTGTACTGCGATATTATAGTGTACGTGTTCATTATACATTGGATTGGCACATAAAAACGATGAAATTGTATTTGGAAAGGTGCGGAGAAAATGAACGAAAATATATTCGCGGCAACTCGTGCGCCCCGCCCCGAGCGCCCCACCGCCCCCGAGAGCTTACGGCACGGGCGCACGGGGAATGATGACGTCACGCCCCAACTTCCGGACCCCATAGCAGCCAAAGTAAGTACAATCTCGACTTTTTTTTTACATACCCATACTGAGGGAAGGGTTTTTGACACTTTAAAAAGAAAAAAGAATTTTTTCCAGAGAATTTATTTCCTGCGCACTGCGGGGGTGTCACATTTGGAGGCAACGCAGTTAAGGGGTTAAGCCCTGATGCTAAGAAAATAGTTAGAGGGATAGAAGCCCTAAACCAGAAAATAATAAACACAGAATATGCGGTCATATTCAATGAAACATATATATATATATACAGTACAACTTCGATTCAACGCACTATATGGGACCAACCCTGGTGCGTTGGAGCGTTGAATGTGTTGCAAGAGGTGACCTTCAGGAGGCGTTTGCGTTGGTGTCTTTTTTTTCTTGTACACAATAAAAATGCATCATATTATATACTGTACCTCTTTATTATTACCCTACTAAAAAATAGTGTTACATTTGTTATTTACCTTATTGTTGGAGTTAAGTCCATCTTGAAGTCTCGTGGAGTTGTGAATGCTGTACAGTAAATACGTACTGTTGTGTATTATACCATTAACACTGTGTTGATTAAGTAATTCTGCTGTATGTTGAGTACTACAATACAGTTTATGAAAACTATTGTGCACTAAAATTACTGCAACTTTAATTTTAACACTATGTACACACTTAAATTTAACACTTGTTCTATCTGTTCACGCCACACACGATGTTTTTAGATGTTTGCATCAGCTTTGCTGGTGCTTGCTGCTGCTGTGGGTTCAGCTGCTTCTGAGCTGGTGCTGGCTGCTGTTGTACCAGTGCTGGGTACAGCTGTGCTCGTGCTGGGTACGGCTGTGCTTGTGCTGGTTAATTTTCTGCTACTAGTTCTTGCAAAATATTGCTTCATTTTTGGCATTAATAAAGCACTATTAATAAGGCCCTGAGACATTTTGTTGTGTAACAATACAGCTGTAGTCCAAACATTATAAATACCATGATTATTCTTCCACCAGTGGATAAATACTGTATGTCAATCGCAGACAAAGCTAAGGGCACTGGGTGCATACTGTACGAATGCAAACTAGGTCTATATGTACACCCTACAGTAGGCTGGTGTTTAAGCCAGATCCAGTAACATAGAGTTCTCTCAAATATTTGATTTACATAAAATTATATATTTTTGGGTTATATATTTAGTTTAGCAACATTATTACGATAATAAGAGCTATAAAAAATACTTATTTTAGAACTGATTTATTAATTTTATTATTTCGAAGTCGTAGGTCACTGAATTGTAGCGACGAAATCGAACAAAACACGCATGTTGTTGTGTGGACATGGATCAGACCCGTCCACTCGCACTGGAGTTGTGTTGCCAAAACCATGAATAATTTCTCAAATAGCAAATATCTATCAAATTACAGTATATTTTTCATTTTATTTAGTTTAATTAGGATAATAATAAGTTATTAAAACACAAGTTTTTGAAATGATTTATTAATCTTAAATGTTCAAAGTCATGGGTCACTGAACTATAACAACAGACAAAAGTGATTGAAACCTCACAGTAAAGTGAGGTTTACTGTACAGTATTCCCTTATCTGTCCCCCCTCACTCATCTTGATTCATCACAGAAAATGTATATAAGAAGATTTCAACACATTAGATAGCTATTCACGCTTCAGCCTTTAAATTAATTTACAAAGATACGTGTGCCACAAATCGGTGAACGAAAATCATTGAGACTCAGTCGTTCACTTGTGTGGACCACTTTCGCTGGTGTTTGGTTAATATGCGTCACTTGTCGTGTGGATCATTCTGGCTGGTGTTTGATTCATATGGTTCACTTGTTGTCTGGTCCACTCGTGTGATCCAACTTGTCTTATGCAGGAATTATTAATTATAATCTGTGATAGAATGGGAAACTTTTCCACCACTCTGTGAACTCTGTCCCAACATCGTAAGCTTGTGGACCCCTTGTGGTCTATTTGTGTGGTCCTTGTGTGGTCCATTTGTGTGGTCCAACTTGTCATATGAAGGAATTATTAATTGTAACCTGTGATGGAACGGGAAAGTTTTCCACCACTTTGTGAACTCTGTCCCAACATCGTAAGCATGTGGACCACTTGTGGACCACTTGTGGACCACTTGTGCGATCCACTTGTGTGGTCCACTTGTGTGATCAAACTTGTCATATGAGTGAATTATTAATTGTAATCTGTGATAGAATGGGAAAGCTTTCCATCAGTCTGTGAACTCTGCCTCGACATCATAAGCAAATCCGAACATCCCCCGCTTCGGCGAACCATTGTTCGTCAAACCGGGTGAGAAAATCCGGCCTGAAAAGTGTGCGAACTAGCCGGAGATTCGTTGAATCGGGGTACGTTGAATCGAGGTTGTACTGTATATATATATATATATGCGTATTGTGGATATACCAAGCCGGCACGACGCTTGGCTGACCGCCACCTCACCCGAACTTGGTTCGTGTAGGGTAACCCCAACCCCGGCCGGCGTGAAGCTTGGCGGACTACTTCCTACCCGATTTGTCAACATCAGTCAGTCTGGTGTTGACAAAGGCTTTAACAAAGCCGAAACGTTCACCTCATTTCATATTTCTCTGTGGACTTTCCGCATAAAATGATCAGTGTTTTGTGATCGTCAATTGCATATATATATATATATATATATATATATATATAAAAAGAAGAAGAAGAAATTCAAAAGGTATAGTTTATAGTGGTATGAGACAGAAAGCCTGTTAGATTTATTGCAGTCATCCAAGATTATTATTTGCTCCTTTACAATTTAATGAATATTGTAATTGCATTTGACAGTGATTTCTATTTTTATTGACAGATTCAACATGTCACCAATTGCCTTTCTGAACACTACTATCAGTTTTACTGACTTCCTGATAAGACGGCAAGATATATATGTGACCATGCCAGCACTAGAAGAGAGGTTAGTATGATAGATCATGCATTTTTTTACACCAACTTATTAATATTTACCTGAAATGAAATATCCTGTTTATTATAATGACAAGATAGCACTATGTGAGCTAATACCCCTTGGATGCTCCCATGAACATTTCCTATAAGGTTCACCCAGGGCTCTTATCTCCTGCCACTCTCATCAGACTTTTGTCTCCATCATGACAGGAATCTTGGCAAGTGGTCTTCTCATAAATCTAGGGAAGAGAGACAGTAGCAAGTTCGTCACTGTGATAAATACTGTAGGAAGAAATAACAACTCTCAAACACACTTTGCAAGCAGAAATAAGAATTACTGTATAGTGCAACTATATTTATCTAAGCTAATGCATGCTAAAGGATATCTGCATAAGATAAAATACAGTTTAAGGAAGGAGTTAGATAAGGCTGGATATGGCATTTCAGACATCTGTTCATACTAGCACTGCTAAACCTTTCACTTCCAATTTTTTTTTTTTTTTGGGTGGGGGGGGGAACGCTGCCTCAGTATCTCTACAAGCTACACATTAGTAACCTGTCCATCTTTCATTACCACTTTAGGTTCTAATGATTCATGAACTTCTGGAAACCAGTATCAGAAGTTGGTCTGCTCAATACTGGAAAAGGAGAGTCTGGGGATCTAGAATCAACACAATAGCCAAGAGAAAAGACCACCAAAAAGGTAGATCACACAAAAACAGTAACTGTATACATTGCAGTTGCAATGCTGACCTAAACTACATAAAGAATCATTCCCTGGGTTGAGCTACTGGTTCACACCATTCATTCAGCACCAGATTGCAGCCCCAGCTATTTGGGAACCCAGAACACCAGCTTAACAATTCATGCAACTAGTGCTGCACTGTCCAGTCCTTGGGAACTGGGCCTTTGGAGCAAAACATGTGGGACTTGGGGTTAACAAACAAAGCGTCCACCCTAGAGAAAATAGGTTGCACAATGTTTTATATTCTGTGGCTACTACACAGATTTATTTGCATGCTATTCATGTTGTCTGGGTAGATGCTTTGTTAATCTTAAGTCTCACATTCCTTGCTCCAAAGGCCCATTTTCCCAGGACTGGACAGTGCAACATCAGTTGTGGGAAATTTGGCTCCAAAATAATACTAATAAATCTTATAAAAACATTCGAAGAACCATCCTTTATATAAAGGAAATAAATTGGAGAACCAGTGTCTATGGACCTCATATAAAATATAAATAAAATCTATTACTGGATAATAAATGAACTGTTGTTATTATAAATCACAGAGCCAAATTCCTCCACACACTTTGGGGGTTGATTAGTACAGAGAAATTAATGCATTTATAGTACAAATAAATGAATATTTTTACACATGAAATATTTAATAAAATATGAAATATTGAAGATAATTTTAAATGATAATCATGATCATTTGGTTAATAAAATATAATAATCAACAACTACAAGAACGAAATAACAGCTTAGCTGTATGAAATAAAGGGAGCATGCATCAGGATATATTTGTCACGAGAAACTTGTTTCATCAGGCTATCCAGGGAACACGTGATCGAGGTGTCTTAAATTCTTTATTCTCAGCAATTCCAAGCTGGAAAGCGAGTAGTATGTAGAAACTATCTAGAGAGTTATGATACTACATATATTTCTGAATTAAATGTGGTAAAGCCCTGGAAATTAACTTACTGGTTATTGTTAACCCTTGTATGGCTATTTAGCATGTGTCACTCACAGGCGCATACCAAAAAAAAAAAAAATAATTTTTTCTTCTAAACATGTTAATTTATGTTCATTGATCATGGGAAAAATAATACAATAATCATAAGTGGCATATATTGCCTGCTATAGGGCAGGGAAGTCTGGCAAAAAACAGGCACTGACTCAGCCTGCGTCCCAGACGGTCTGTTGCTCACCAACTGTCAGGCCGGAGCTGCCACAAAGAAATAATTACCTAATTATTTCAATGTCTCTGATTGATTTTTCATAGTTTTTTTGCTGTAATATTATTCAATAGTGTGTAGTGTGATATATTTATATAATAAAATGAGTGAATCATTGCTGTACTCAAAAATATGGTGTGCATATTGTTGATTCAATTATGTTCATCAAACAGTGAACAAATGCTTTGTCAGTTATTACACTATATACACAGGTTATATATAAGTATCTGCATGTTTTGTTCACCATAACGAACCACTAAGTTGCTATTATGAGTCAAAAAGTAACGAGGAGTGACCGCCACACACCAGCCAGCCACTCACTCCCTCAACACCTCACTCGCCCACATTCCCCTCCCACCATACTGTTTTTGCTTTTATTCACTATATACAGACGTTATATATAAGTATCTACATTCGTGTTCACCATAACGAACCACTAAGTTGGCATGCTGAGTGGCAGTGCCAGTGGCAGCTCGCCAGTGGCTGCTACTTCCTCCCTCCCTCAAGTTATCTAACTCACCCACATTCTCCTCTCACAATACTGTTTTTGCCTTTATTCGCTATATACAGATGCTATATATAAGTATCTACATTCATGTTCACCATAATGAACCACTAAGTTGGTATGCTGAGTGGCAGTGGCAATGGCAGCCAGTGGCAGCCCGACACTGGCTGCCACTCCCTCCTTCCCTCCCTCCCTCCCTCACCTCACCTGACTTGCCACCATTCTCCTCCCACCGTACTGTTTTTGCTTTTATATACAGATGCTATATATAAGTATTTACGTTTTGTTCACCATAACTGTACATCTAAGCTTGTATGGTGAGTAAAGGCACAAAGACGTAGCTACTCACACAGTCAGTTGGCGGCTGCTGCCCTCAAGGCCAGACGCACTAATATTTCTCCTCCAACAATACTGTTTGTGGTTTTATTATGCTACATACACACATTATATATATACCTGTTTTATTCACCATACTTGTACAAGTAAACTGGTATGGTGCCCAAAGACCATAGTGGTCACCAGTAAACAACATAATAAGTCGTGCAGATGATGCCACCTCCCTCACCAAAATGGCGGCTCCCAACCTACTCCTATTGCTGTTTATACCCTCTATACACACGTTATATATAAGTATCTACATTTGTGTTCACCATAGGGAACCACTAAGCTGGTATGGTGAGTGCAGTCAATAAAAGGTGGCCACACACAGTCAGAAGACAACACCACCACCCTCCCTCCCACAGCATTACTCCTCCCTCCATGGAGCACAGCGCTAAATATCACCACAATCCTGCTATTATCAGAATCCTGGCAATCCTGACAATCCTGGTCAGTTTTATCACAGGGGTCTTCTGTAATAATATCATCGCTACATAATAGCATGAACAAGTATATTATGGCATTTTTAGGCGATGCTGTGGTCACAAGCTGAACAGCAGTGCTGTGAGCTCATGCTGCGTGCGTCAGGCTTGGTAGCTCACTCAATACTGAGGCGCCTAACACCCGGGAATTTGGCCCACGATTTTTAAAAAAAATGGCGTCTGTTTACAAGAGCCCTGATGAAGGTGTGGTGAACCCCGTGTATCCGCAGGCCGTTTAAATCTTGCATAGTACTCCAAAGCATCATATGATGCGATGCGCAATTAAAGGGTTAACCCTCAAACCGTGCATATCATATATAAATGATATCAGTGACAAAACCGAAACCGCGCACATCATTTATATATGATTTCGTGTCTAGCGCTATAATTTAAACGCCCCGCCTGGGATAGGGGCAGCTATAGTACAGCCACGGCCGATAGTTGCCAGATGCCACCTAGAAAAAAAATCCAGGCCAACGTTCTTGGGTGTTACAGCGTCAGTATTGAGCAAGCCACCAAGGCTGGCGCACGCAGCACGAGCTCACAGCACCGCTGTTCAGCTTGTGACCACAGCATCGCCTACAAATACCATAATATAAATGATACTGCTATTATTTAGCAGTGATAGTATTACTGAAGCCCCCCTGACTGTGATAAAACTGACCAGGATTCTGATAATAGCAGGATTGTGGTAATATTTAGCGCTGTGCTCCATGGAGGGAGGAGTAAGGCTGTGGAGGGAGGGTTGTGGCATCATCTTCTGACTGTGTGTGGCCACCATTTATTGACTGCACTCACCATATCAGCTTAGTGGTTTGCTATGGTGAACACAAATGTAGATACTTATATATAACGTGTGTATAGTGTGAGATAACAGCGAGAGGAGTAGGTTGGGAGACGCCATTTTGGTGAGGGAGGAGCGTCGTCTGCACGACTTGTCATGTTGTTTACTGATGGCCACTATGGTCTTTGGGCACTATACCAGCTTATTTGTACAGGTATAGTGGATAAAACAGGTAGATACTTATATATAATGTGTGTATATAGCGTAATAACACAAACAATATTGTTGGAGGAGAAATATTAGTGCGTCTGGCCTTGAGGGCGGCCGCCGATCAGCTGACTGTGTGAGTAGCTACGTCTTTGTGCCTTTACTCACCATACAAGCTTAGATGTACAGTTATGGTGAACAAAACATATAAATACTTATATATAACGTCTGTGTATAGTGAATAAATGCAAAAACAGTATTGTGGGAGGAGAATGAGGGCAAGTGAGGTGGTGTTGAGGGAGGGACTGGCAGTGAGTGGCTCGCTGGTGTGTGGTGGTCACTCCTCGTTGCTTTTTGACTCACAAGACCAACTTAGTAGTTCGTTATGGTGAACAAAACATGCAGATACTTATATATACAGTAACCTGTGTGTATATAGTGTAACAACAGCAAAACTATTTGTTTATTGTTTTATGAACATAATAATTGAATCACTAATATACACACCATAATTTTGAGTACAGCGATGGTTCACACATTTTATTATATAAATATACCACAATTCACTGTATGGAATAATATTACTGCAAAACACTAAGAAAAAATCAATCAGAGACATTGAAATAATTAGGTAATAATATATTTGTGGCAACTGCCGTCTGACAGCTCGGGCGGAGTAGACCTTGTCTGGCGAA